TGGTGTGGACTGTAGTCCAACTACACTGCTTCATTACTAATGATTGTGAAAAGTAGTGCTATTTCTTGCAATATTACTAGATATGTTTGATCTTTAAGGAAAATATTGTAAAAAAAAGTGAAATAAATTATATAACCCGTAGAGATTTAAAATAATCTAACCATTTATGGACTGTATCACAGTCCTAGTTCTTGGATATTTCTGAAAAACAGCAGAAAATACTCTTTATTTGTATCAAAATCTGGCACTAATTGGAATGCATTGTAAATGTATATTGATGGCTTGTGGAATAGATAGTAAGATCTTGTGCCTTGTGCTCTTCTGGTTTTGTCTGGGATAAGTGAAAAGATAGAGGTGACATTGAAAATGCACTCAGTGTTTGTTAAATAATAGCATATTGCCCGTATTGCCTCTGTAAACCAAAACAACAGGCATTGCCGTGGTGCAACTGGGTGTATAGGGATGTTTTAATGCATTAAGATGTTTCACTTTATGTGAAAACCCTCAAGTCTAGTTAATCTCCATGTCAAAGTCATATCTATTATTGCACATTTTGTTGTGTTGAATATTGAACAACCTGAACTGAAAAAAGCCCACTGTAAGAATATCTGTTCTACAGACTTCAGGTGCAGCATATAAATAGAATTTAATAAATTGTTTTCTTAATCAAGGACCATTCAATGAAAATAAGTTTGTTTTTATTTTTCAAAATGTAGGATTTATGGCAATAGATATTAATACTTAATATTTGAAGAATCAAGGTTGTCTTGTTATCTCAGACATCCTTTTGATGCAATGACAATATGTGGCACTCCAATCATGGAAACATTCTTCATTATGTTGGTAACAAAACTCATTCAAATTAGCTAGATTAAGATTGTTCCTTGGCGCAGCATGAATGTACTTGCTCTAATCACACATACTGTGAACTGGGTTTAAACATTCAGTTTCATGTAGATTATAAATTTGTGCTCTTTGTGCTTAAAAGCATCTGACATCACTACTGCTAATATCCATCAATCCTACAATGAGGTTTTTGTTGTCATTGGACACTAAGAAATTGCTATTTATATTAGGTTTAGCAATATTTATTTGGCAATCTAAATGTCTTAATTTCAAAATGGTAACACTGGTGGTATTTTTTGGATAAGTCTGGTGTTAATCATTTTCATTTGAACTTGGGCCCAAGAATGTATTTTTCCCCAAACAGCTTTAAAGGCTAGCTGGTTTCTTGATGAAATGAGCTTTTTGTTGGTTTTGTGTGTGCTGATAGTAGTGGTGAGATGCCAGTTGAGTTACCACAACATCACTGTGGCTGCTCACTCTTCTAGCTCTCAGGTTAGATTTATATAAACTAAGTAAATTAGAAAGGAGGATTTGTGATATGAGACAGAATGCCCTCCACACTCTTATCAACTAAATTGAAAGTGCACATTTCTCTAACATCATGTAAGGATTATAACAGTTTCCAGTGTGCAGTACAGTAAGCACTGGCTAGCATAGGAATTTGTTTTCTTTTAAAGATTTTTGTATTTTGATTTTTGTCTTCCCAGAACGAATAATACACATTCTTGACAGTTTTTTTTTTAAAAAAAGCACAACTTATTGTTGAGTATTACAAATGCCAGCCTTAAACAGAACAAGGTTATCAGTATTTTTTTCTGCAAAATGGCTACTCGCGAAGACAAAGAAGCGAGCGGAGATTTCAATACACTCTTGTCGTTGTGTATACAAAAGACTTAGTTACTGGCTGATCTCTGTACTTCAATCATTCATGAAACAATGCATTAATTAGTGCATTACATAGTCTAGTTTCTTTCAATGTTTCCTCTAAATAAAGATAGAATTGTGCAAGCAAAATGAGTAAGATTGCAAATCTTACATTGCATTCAATTGGGTAGAATGTAAACACGACACACAAATAATGAACTATCATGTTAAAAGAAATCACCTATACCCTAGATGTTCTACCCTGGTTAAGGTTATGATAATTCAAAATGCAAGAATTGGCTCATGACCAATAATAATAATGCTTGCATTTGATATAGTACTTTATCACGTCTTTGAGACGTCTCAAAGCACTTCACAGAATGTACGGTAAAGTGAATAGACTGTTATTTTGTGGATAAAACTATAGTGAAATTAACCACGCAACTTGCTCCCTTTGTGAAATTTATGGTGCAATAGAATATCAGCTAATTTCCATTTTGTATGACATGTCAGGCAGCCTGTCTTGCCCATATTTTACCCCTCTCGCTCCTCCCCACCACGCAACCCCCGCCCCCACCCAACCATCGTAATTCCCTCGCAAGCTTTCTGCAATTCAGCCATATGTCTACAGGATCTTCTCACTGTGTCAAAGGGATAAAAATTGCCAATTCAAGATTCTGAATTTATCAAGCAAGACAAACAATATCTTAATAAAGAATTTATTGCCAATTAACAAATGTCCTCTCTCTGCCCATTTTGACAGAATGAGTCCAGACCTGCCAATGTAACACATCACAATAGTTTATTTTTACCTTAACAGCTTTTTCTTAGATTAACACTTCCAAAGTGTAGACAGAAAGCCTTTAGCATTCTCTATTTGTGCTGCTGTTAATGTTGAGTTCAGACACTAAATAGAGCGGTGCAGCTTTGATCTTTTATCTTATTGGCTGTCTGATGCTGGAGAAATGAAAAAAGAGGCTGCAATTTCTGCATTGCCAGAATTCCGTTAACATTTTTAATAAATGGGTCTTTATGCAGAGGAAAAATTGAACCAGATATGTGATAAATTGAAATAATGAATACAATATACATTTAGATAGTGCTTTTCACAATGAGAGGACATCTTGAAGTACTTTGGATTGCTGGCTGGGTACCAGAAATCTGGATGGGAGATGAAATTACTGGGGAGGGAGAAATGACTGAAAATGTGGCCAAAGAGGTACACCTGAGATGGACATTGAACAGGATGAGGGAAGGAATGAATTGAAGAGTCTCCTGGATCGAGTTGGAGAAGGATGTGTCTTTTTTTGATAGCTAACCTTGATGTCTTGCCTTGATGTCTCACGTGACATTTGTGGATAGATGGCATTTAAAATTTGGCACAATGCGACAATGCAACATATAGAACAGAGAAAAGCGTCTCAAGAAATCCACCTGTAGTTTTGGCAAGGCGACAACCAGGCACTATTATATCATTATCAATCATAATTTAATGCCTTCCAATATTAAAAATGTATCAATTTTTGAATGGTAAAATCCTGTTCTGGAAAAACAGATATATAAAAAAATACCTTTCACATGTGGGTGTGGATGCATACATGCCTCTTTCCATTAATGCTAAAGATTTTACATGTTAATTATGTACACATGAAATTGGAATTCTTGGGCCGACCTACATAATATTTCATTGATACAGATGAGGTGCTAGCTCACTTTTTTTCTTAATTTGCTGGCCTTGTTGCTAACAGCAGATTTTTCTACACAACTCTCGTTCTTGTGTCCGAAAGGTGCCAGAATCTCTAATGCGCTCTCCAGCCAGGCACATGATGAATTTTTTCAGTGTTTCAGCAGACTTATAAGAGGGAGTATCTTGTAGTAGTGAAGCAGGTTCCCTTGGGAGAAAAACTGAAGTGGTTGTAAGCGTGGATTGGGCTCAAATATCTGTTTTTAACTAATCTACAGAAATTACCCAGCACTGATATACAGAAGTCAAACCTCTGGGCAACTGCAATTGTCAGGAATGGAATTGTTTCTGAATATGTGCTCACTTGGCAGCGACCTATGAAGCTTTATGTCAAGCTGTACAGGTGCCTTGATCCATTTACTAACTTTAAAAACCCTGTCTAATTTTACTGTCTTTTAATTGAGGGTTGTCCAACCTTTTAGCTGCTGATGGCCGGATGCCCTATTTGAGAAACATCCATGGGCCACATAAGCAATATTTTTGTGTTTCCTTTCCAGAAGCATAACATTTATGGGTTATGGAGGGAGCTGGTGCATCAGATGAAATTGGGGGAGGGAGATGGATGGCCAAAAGGGTCTAGAATTTGATATAGAAGGAGTTCAATGTCAATTCAAGAATCTCCTATTCCAGTTTACTTTATCTCCCAGAATGCATGTGGCATCCCTTATGATGACCTCCTTCCCCTTTTTCCCCTCCTCCATAGCTCGATGTCCAACCTGCAATTATAAAGGCTCTGAGATGTTATTAGAATATGCTTTACATTTAGATAATGTTTTTCACATTGAGAGGACATCTAAAAGCGTTTGGGACTGATGGCTGGGCACCTGAACTGGGGGTGGGAGGTGAAAGTACTGGGGAGCGGAGAGATGACTGAAAGCGCGGTCAAAGAGGTCTTTAAACAGGGTGAGAGACGGAATGAGTTGGACAGTCTCCTGCATACAGTTCCAGAGAGCAGGGGCAGAATGTCTGAAAGCCTTCCTGCTGATCGTACAAAGGACATGAAACAGGCTGAGCAAAGGGAGAGGCCAGGTCAGAAATGGTTAAAGGAGATTGCAGAGATTGGGTGGGGCAATACTGCTGGGGGATGGGAAGCAATAATCTATGTGAAGGGCGCTATATAAATGCAAGATGTTGTATTTGGTTTTCTCAGAAAGTACTGCCCGTAGCACTCTGTTTTGGTGCTGCACAATGGTGATTAAGAGTCTTTCCTTTAGTGATGTTAATATGTGGTTGTCCTGCCCTTAGCACATAATCAACATTTTATAATATGCCTAATGAGGCAGATTTTTTCCCAAATCCTCTGCTCCCAAGCTCCCTTTGATAAGCAGATATAAAACAGAGAAAACTAAGAATCGCTTAAGTATATGGGAGTCTAACATTTTAAACTTTGAGGTTTTGTGGTAGATAAGAGTGCTCTTTAGATGCAGTATTTGTTTCAAATCTGAAAATATTGTTCCATAAATTGTCTGTGATAATTTTCTAAGCCATGTTAGCATTGTAAGATATTTGTATTGTTGATATGATTTTTTTCTTATTCCTTCTGTAGGCTGCTCTGGTGGGAGGAACAACAACAATAATTGGCAATGTTTTGCCAGATAAAGAGTGCTCTCTTCTAGAGGCTTATGAAAAATGCAGAAATCTTGCAGATCCCAAAACCTGCTGTGACTATTGTTTACATGTTGGTGTGACATGGTGGGGACCACAGGTAAGGGTATAATTTGCCATGTAAGTAAATAAAATTTGCAGCAATAAAGACTTCTATCCAGGTTGTGCAGGGCAAAGACTGCCAAAGATAGCGTCTCTTTATACAGATGATGGTGATGAAAATGTGTAATTAATTGCCAGAAACTAATTGAAGCAGAAAATATGTTAATTGTGCTAACTTGCCTGCTTTGGTGCTGTACAGTCTTGGTTTGGTCAGCCATTTTTGGGGGTTAAGAATATCCAAATCAAACTGAGAATTCCATGCACTCCATCTACACCTGGAAATCCCAGAGATAGATTGTTCGAATGGAATGTGCGCTCTCTCCCTGGAGGGACTCATCCTGCTTCCCTAATTCCGGAAAGTATTAGGCGTAGGTTGTCGAGAGCCAAGGCTTGGGGACCCTAGAGTGTGTGTTGGAGTACTGTCGGATACTATGTATTTCTTTAGACAGAGGGTAATTAAACGCCTAGAATGGGTTACCAGGAAGGGTCGCAGAGACCAGGAATTTATTGTAGAAGCAGCTCAGCCCTGAAATGAGGAAAATAGTGGGTGGGTTTCTCAAAGGGTGAGATTAAATGAGCCGAACAGCCTTCTTTGTCCACAGATCTATTGTGAGGCTGAAGTAGAACTAGTAGATAAAGATGAGGAAAAAAATTAATATTATAAAATGGATTTTTGGATCTCGTTAAAATAATGAAGAACGCAGACTGTATGTCCATGGGCGAAGAAGGAGCAATAGAATACAATTTACAGCTTTGATCTGTCAACCACGAAGTTGGCCTTTTTTCCATGCTTTGTTTCTAATGTTATTCAGGTGGAACTTGAAATGGAGAAGCTAGTGAAAGAATATGGAGTGAATTCATTTCAAACGTATATGACCTACAAGGACCAATATATGCTACGGGATAATGAGCTTTACCAAGTGTTCCGTCTCTGCAAAGCCCTAGGTGCTATAGCTTGTGTCCATGCTGAAAATGGAGAACTGGTGGCTGAGGCAAGTATACTTTTTTCAGTTGTCATCTGTGTCTCATCCTCTGAAAGGTCTGGTTTATATACCATCTTTCATAACGAAAGTAGGTTAAATTCTGTGAACTTCTTCCGAGTCCCAGAATCTTTTCTGCTCTTCTTGTCATTAAAGTTTGCAGTGCCTTTTTTAAAGGAAGGCAGACATGAATCTGTACGTAATGTTACAAATGTTGCCTAACCAGTGACCTGTTAAAATACTTTTACTTTTTAGAAAAGTTTAGGTATTTTATTGCACTCTGGGGTCCACAGGACATGATCACCTCTTGAAGTATGTTTCAGCAAATGTTACTAGTGAAAATTACAGTTTTCCACTAGCAGATACATATTCATATTTTCCACTGCATTAGAAGTGATTTCAACTTGAAAGATGGTTGTACATTCCCTTTGGCTCAATAATAATAAAGGAAATCATTACTAACTTGAATTTAAAAAAAAGTCATTCACTTCATGGCTGTTTGTGGGGCATTGCTGTGTTCAAATTGGCTGCCATGTTCGCCTACAAATTCAATCACTACAATGACTATTAGTCACTAACAAAATGTAGCCAAGTGTCTAGATGTTACATAAATGTATAGAGATAAACTCGCCTACAAAATTTTAAAAAGTGAAAATAATGGTACTCTTAAAGCAATCATTTCAATGCCACCATCAGACTTGTCTTTGAATTGTGAACATGGTTATAACTCAAATCTAGAGACACTAACTATCCAAATATTCCTGGCCATTTTCAGTTTGAATCTTGCACTTAAAAAGGTGAAGAACAGTTGTTTATGCAGACCTATGGTGGCCAAGAACACAGCAAACTTTCCTCCACTCTAGCCAGAAAATTGGCTGCTGCTTCTCTGCATCTTCAATGGAAGCCTGCTTAGTTTGACTGCCACTGTTGTAAGTGGCCATCTGCTCCTGGTTGTTGGGGAAAGTGCTGTTGTTTTGAGCACCAGGAGATGGCACAGGAATATTTGAAGGAAACCGTTTCTTTACCCGAAATCTGGCAGAAATGTTGAACGTACCACTGGTTCAACAACGGTAAAGTAGGTTCCGCAAGGAAAGTTTACATCTGCAGAATCCTCATGTTCTTCATTCATCAGGTGTTGGGATATATTCACTGTGGTTCCATAGATTCAACAGAAGGTGGCAACTGGGATCACTATGTAATTATTGACATCCAATTGATTCCACACATCTTGAAGGAAATTCTTGATCTGTTGATGAGAACCAAACATTCTTTTAAGTGCTTTTAGCAAGAAATCTACCAGATCTAGAAATAGGATTTGATAAGTTTGCTTTTAAAGCATTGGCTTTGTGTTGAACAGAGGATCTGCTGATAGTGTTTCCTGGAAGCAGAGGTGCTGGCATTTTTTCAATGCAGTAATATTTTAAAATGTTAGCCCTTAAAAGCCTCTCCCTCCCAACATGCCCCAGTTCTGATGAAGGGTCGTGGACCCGAAACTTTGACTCACTTTCCTTTCTCCATGGATGCTGCCTGGCCTGCTAAGTGTTCCCAGCGACTTCTGATTTTGTTTTAAAATAGATGCACCGAAACTTGGACTTACTATAGACAATGTCCCATCGCCTCCCCACCTAGAATGTGTATGTTGTAAATTCAGGTGTTTTATTCGGAGAAAAACTTATCATCATGCAGTATACTAGAACTAGATGCAACTCCTCCAAGTACATCAATATCTTCTCAAGGTTGTAAATATCAGTTAAGTTGCTGCGCCTAATTGCAGAACTAACTTGTCTGAACCAGATAATTATAACAATAATAATCCTTGCATTTGATAGAGCGCTTTTCATGTCTTCTAGACGTTTCAAAGTGTTTCACAGAATATACTGTAAAGCAAATTGACTGTATATGGGCAAAAAATTATAGTTGAAGGCTGCAATAATTGAAAATCGTTTCACTTGAAGGAACATGTTCACCACCCTACCATGTTCTCCACCCTACAATCCACAGTGTTGGTCCCTTCTACATGTAGAATGTAGCGTGTTTCCTTCACATGAACTAAATCAGCACTTGTCTTAAAGCAGGCTAAAGCAACAGAACATGCAGAACAAACTAACGTTGAATTGAACCCACCAATTAATGAGAGCTAATTAAGCTGTTACTCTGATAATATGAAAATGTTTGTGTAGAAAATGCTCATGGAATTTCATTTGATTTTTTGATGAGTTTGTGTTAATGCTTTACTCTGAATTTCATCCGTAACATTACAAATATCAAGTTCAAGCCACAAATAAGTGTTTCAAATGATACCCAGTTTCTTCAGCATATTCCAGTACCTCTTGTTCAACAATTATTGATTAATGAGGTGATTACAAATTAGTTAGCATAAAATCTATTGGGAATGAGCAAAGAATTGCTGAAAAACTTTATAGTGGATGCTATTAATGCTGCGCTGAAGCATATGGAGGCTGGAGGGAGAAGTTAGCAGAAATTCAGAAGTTATGGGTCATTCCTTAAAGCTCTAACAAATTCTTCAAGGAACTAATTAAATTGGTCATGAAGGCTTTCTAGCGGATATAATTTGTCTAGGTTTCAGAAGGCATTTGGTGTAATTCCCAAATGTGAAGTTTTAGCAGATTTAATTGCAAGTCAGCTTTCTTAATTGAGGATGTCTTGGCAAAAGCACCTGAAATGAGTTAGTAAATATAAACAGTGGGGACAGCAATAGTACCTGTACTGAGTCCATTGCTGTTCACACTATTCGATAACAATTTGAAAATAACTTTGATTTAAATCTAACCTAACGTATTATATATATTATATACGTGTGTTTCTCATGCCACAAAGCTATTTTGTTAGTGTCAAATATAAGGAAGATTGATAGTATTTAAAGAACTTCAGACTAAAGAATGGTAATCGATTTTAATATGAATAAATCTACACATTTCTTCAAGAGTCCATCCATTTATTTCCCTTTTAAAATAATCATCGGGCTCTGTCTCTGTATGGTTTATTGCAAATATTCTGCATTCTCATTACCTTCTACATAAAGAAATTTCTTCTAACCTCCCCTTAAATTTTTTTTGTCATTATCTAACTGATCAATGGAAATAATCTATTATTTAAAAGACTTCATAATCTTTAAGATCTCTGTCAGATTACCCCTTAACTTTTTCAGATCTAGTGAAAACAATCCTAGTTTCTTGTGTCTCTCTTCATAACTACTTTTATTTTTTCCAATTAAGCTACATTTTGCTTCTTTATTCTATTTAAGCTTGTATGGCTTCTTTATAACGGGAGGACATCTCAAATCGTTTAACCAAAATCTAGTACTTCGCATTTTATTTGCCGTTGAATTGCACCTCCTAATTATCTGCATACCTTGTCAGTCTACCTATGCCCTCTTCTCCTTGGAGGGATTGGGAATTGGTTATTATAGAGCTGAGTTTGCACCAAGATGATGTACTTAGCAAAGGAATGTCGGAGTTAAGTCAATCATCTGTGGTGGTCTTCAGAGTCTGGGTCCTGAGCCAGGCAGGGCCACAGTACTCAAGGGTACTGCTGACAACCTCATCAGCAGGATTTAGAGGGGCTGACCAGTCATTGGAAGCAGGAATGTTTCCCTCTCAGCTCCTGTTAACTCTGCAAACCAAAACCTTAATTGGTTCCTCGACAAGCAGCGGGAAGCTTGTCAGGCTATGTCAGTTTTATCTGAATAAACTCCAGCAATACCTCCAAAACACAATCTGGAGCCCCCAAGCTTTGGCTTCTACCAATCCCTGACCTCATCCCTAATGCTCTCTGGAATTGGATAAGCACAGTCCGTCCCTCCAGGCAGAGTGCCAATTCCATTGAAGTCATGAATATTTCCACCAGATGGGTTTCCACATGTGTCAGACAACCAGTTGATCAAAAATAAAATCTATGTTGACGTCCTCCCGACGTGAAAAGCACAGTACCAAATGTAAGTATTATTATGTGTTGCATATTGCTTTGAGGCTAAATTAGCAATTGGACATTGACCAATGAGAAGCAAATAGGAAGCATAAAAGGATTCTGGGAAAGGGACTACGCAGAGTGTTGAAGAGTACAGTTGAAATAAAGGTGCTATTGAATTGAAACTGTTGTGGATTGACAAACAATACAGTGTCCTTCTGTAGACCTTCATAATCCTTGTCACAATTTTCCACACCTCCATTTTGGTCTCAACCCAGCAAGTCGTAATCGTGTCCCATCAATTAATTTATGGAAATTGTGAATAAGAGAAGCCCACAAAGCCTCTGTGGATCTCACTCACTGCACATTCCAATTCTGAAAAGCTTCCTTTTCCCGTTGCTCTCTGGCACTTAATGAAATTCTTATATTAATTGGGGAAAAATGTAAAATCTTTAAAGCCCTTAAAGTTATATCTAAATTAGATTAAAGCTGCCTATTTGACTCTGACTGTAGAACTGAGGGATATGAATATATAAAATTAATAATAAGCCTCAAGAGATTACAATTTTGTTTGCACTCTCAATTCACTTCCTTCCCCAGAGAGTACTGACTTACAACAAAATCAGTTAATGTCTAATATAACTCATTCATGAAACAGCTAGGTAAATGTCTGGTTAGACATGCATTGAAGATGATAGTGGTGACAATAGAGAAAACAAATATTCCATGGAGGCAACGTTTGCCTTGTACCAGAAACACAAAAACTATAATCTGTGCAAAGTAATCAGATTGAATTGGGTATGCTTTGGTTTCTATACCATGCATTAATGTTTCAAAATACTGTACTTCTGAAGAAAAGCGGTGGAGCATTTTTCGGTAAAGGAGAAACTTTAAGTTTTCTGTTGCTGGTTTTGGGTTCCTAAACATTTATGGCACATGGGAAGGTCATTCAGCCCACCATGTCTCTGCCGGCTCCCTCAAGCTATCCTTTCAGTCCCACTTACCTGACCTTCTTCCATACCCCTATAACTGAAGCTTTTTGAGGTGTTTATCTGGTTCGCTCTTGAAGGTCAATGTAGATTCTGCCTCAATCAATGCTCCGAGTGGAACATTCCATATTCTAATTACTCTCTGTCTGAACAAAAATTCCTGCTCCTCCCAATTTGCTTGTTTACTAACTATCTTAAGTTGATCATTTCTAGTTACTTTGCTTGCTGTATGCAACTTTGTGTTTCTGTTATAAACGTGTTGCACACATTCATTGCAGTTATGAGTGCATTGTAACTCATCTCCAGTTTTTTAAATTAAATGCAGGTGATATTATCTGTCGCACAATGGACGGGAAATTCAAATAGTGCAAAAAGATCTTTTCACACTTTATTCACTTGGTTTCTTTGCAAGTGTTAGTTTAAACATGGGTTTGAATAGAAATTGTATTTTTAAAGAAAGCTCTAATCTGGGGGTACTGTTTTGGTTTTCAAGCAAACTAATGGTTGAGCCTACCTTAAGCATATTTGAGCCTGAGATTAAGGAGACAGAATGGACAGTCTGGGAGCTCCAGCAGGACGACAGGGAAGCTGTCCAGAACTTTGGCTGCAGAAAGATGTCAGTAGAAATCTAATTGTTAGATAATTACTTGTGTAAATTAACTTTTTAATGGATTCATCAAGACAATAGGCGATAGACAATATTGAATGCAATCTTCTGGAAGAGTTGCATTAAAATATTCAGATTTCAAGAAGTTGCAAATGTTGGTAAGTCTATCCATTTTGGATGAAATGTCAAAGAAATTCCCAAAGCATTCTGAGAATTTCACGTGAAATCTAAAAACAATTTCCTGGTTTAGGTACAGCATGAGTTGGAGATTAAATATTATAGTGAGCTTGTACTGCAAATAAACAAATTTTACACTTCCATTCATTGGTTTGCCCTTTTGTCCAATACTTAAGATTCCACTTTCTGTGTTGCATTTGTGCGAGTAGGGCCATGTTTGAGGGCAGATCTGTTCTATGAAGTGATATTCACGGGAAACCAAATAAAGCCTGTCCAAACTCATTTTGCCAACTGCTCAAACCTGTCAGATGAAAATTCTTCCCATTTCATTGGTTTGGATTCAAACCCAGGACCCAGGGATAAAAGGATAGTGTTATGCCTCACTGCACTAGGTTCCAAATCTTCATGAATTAATCATGTTGTACTCTTCTATTGGCAACACTCATTTAATACCATTTAATACCCTATAGATCTTACTAAACTAATTTGAAAAGTCCCCATTTGATGCAATAGAACATGTAAAATGCAACTCAAATGGTTTCTGGTTATTATTCAGTTACATATTTTAACACATTCTACAACAATATAAGTTTTTTGCTGTGAAACAAAGGAAAATGTTGTGACCTCATTATAAGTGCATGGAAGGTATATTGTTAGATGTTCGATTTCTACAGAATAATTTTACAGTGTACCTTATTGTTGTACATTATTTGTTCTGCTTTAAACATTTTTGATAGGGGACACTGTTGGATTAATTAGATCAAATAGTTTATGCAATTACTTCGATTAAGTAATCATCAAAACCAAAATCGGTTTTGTAAGTTGTTAGTTTACGTCAAGCAGCACTAAATAGTTTTTTTTGTATTGCTACTTCCCTTTCTTAACGCCTCTCCCCCCCCCCTTCAAAACCAGGGTTTGTAACTAAACTTTTTGGCAAACAAGACATCGCTGCTCTTTATGTTCTAGGATGATCAAATGTTTTGTAGTCTTGTTTGATCTGGGCTGACAATTGAGCTCTTCCCTCTTCCAGCTCCTGGAAATGTCTGGCCATTGTTAATATTCTGTTTAGATTTTGGGTTCAAGTTTCACATTGGGACTTTGGACTGTTAGTGTAGACCGATCCTGTGGTATAATGCTGGGTGCCGTCCTTCAGATGAGATGTTAAACCGAGGTCCTGTCTGCCTGTTCAGGTGGATGCTAATTATCCCATTGGCAAGGGAGTTTCTCCTGGTGTTCTGCCCAAGAATCCCCCAAATAAAATTAATAATAATAATTGTTGCATTTGATATAGTGCCTTATCACGTCATCTATACGTCTCAAAGTGTTTCACAGAATATACTATAAAGTGAATTGACTGTATATTTGTGGGGGAAACGCGGCAGCGAATTGCACACCAGTGTCCCACAAACAGTCATGGATTGAAATGACCAATTTATTATTGTTTTTTTCTTGAGAGATTATTATCAGGCGTATGGAGTAAGGAAACTTGCCTAAGGTTTCACCCTACCGGGAATCGAACCCAGGTCTCTCGCTTGCGAGGCAAGTGCTCTAACCATGGAGCTACAGGACTCCATTGGTCATTTGTTTCATAGTGAAGTGTGTTATAGGAGACTGCACTGGAAATATTTCTATTAGCATTCTTTATAGTTTTTTCACAAATTAAATCCCCAAATTACAATGACATTAGTAACCCAGTTTACCTTCTACATTTATCTTTACAACAGTCACTGTTTCACTGTCACTGCACTATAAAATAACTCATTATGTGTACTGTGTGACAGCTGGATGTGGTAAACCACAATATCAAATGCAAGTACAGTGGAAGCTGCTTTAGCCAAACGCTGGTTAGCTAAAGTAATCGGATAAAACGCACGGCCACAATTCATTTGTATTCTTATCTGTTTTAAATGTGCCAGTTAATTCGGACAGAAATCCAGATAATCTGGACAAAATGGCAGGCTGGTCATTGCTGAGTCAACTCACTGCGTCTCGAGCAGTTCCATTCACCCACAAGCGTCTCTGGGATGGAGGTGAGAGGAGTCAAATTGTGATTCATTGACAGCGGATTCCTGCCATTCACAAGCGGTTCTGGGCTGTTAATCAGTGAGGGGGCGGAGGAACAGGGAAACAGGGAAGAAACAAGGGAGGAATTGGGAGGAGTCAAACTGTGCTTTGATTGACAACTGGAGCCGCTTGTGAATGGATGAAGTGCCCGTGCATTCACAAGCGGCTCCAGCTGTCAATCAAGCACAGTTTGACTCCTCCCAATTCCTCCCTTGTTTCTTCCCCGTTCTTCCACCCCTCACTGATTGATAGCCCAGAGTGCCCATCCATTCACAAGCGGTTCCAGGCTGTCAGTCACCCCAGAACCACCACTAATTGGTCCCCTTCCCATCCACTGGGAGGGAGGTGGCACTTCCACCGCTTCTTTGCTGGGTCGGAAGAAGTAAGGGAACTTCGGTTATTCTTGAATGCTGCTTACGATGGACCAGCTTAAGTGGCTTCCACTGTGTTTTGAACAGTATGAGATATAAAGGAATGAAGTAAGTGATGTCAGTGCTATTTCTTTTGCGAAGTGCGCAAAGAAATTATGTCACTTGAGTAACTTATGTCACAATTATGTCAATGGAGGGAATATAATTACAAGGAGGTAATGTCAACAGCTACTTGATAGCTTAGAAGGCACATGTTTTTCACACTTCATTTTTACATTGGAGTCTGAATTTATAGGGTTCATAAACTCTCACCCTTATGAGAGTTTATAGTTCACAGGGGTGCCTGTAACATTAGAACTCACAGAAGAAACTGCCTAAGAAACTGCGTATGTGTGAAAAGCGATGCAGACAGCACTTGCTTCGCAAAGTGACGTCACAACATGGGACCTCATTTAAAACTGACGTGTCAATTTAAGCAGTCAAGTAAGGAATTGAATGCAAAATGAGTAAGTAGTTTTTGCGATAAAAATGATTGAAACAGTTTCAAAATGCCATCAGTATAAGCATATACATACACAAGTGAGCTGATGGTCTCTGATGTTGCTCCAAGCACACAAACCAGAAGCCCACCACATTCACTTCTGCTGAAAATTGCTTGTATACAGACATCAAGTGAAAACATAACAAGGCTCAACTGTGATGCCTTTCTTGGCCGAACAGATTGCTGACACTTGTTATTTAGACTTAAAGTGCTTCAAGACACTACGTGAAGGGCATTATATAAATGCAAGTTGTTGTCATAAACAAAGAATGACCATTTGGGCAAGTGACCTGAAGGCTGCTCACTCCTAGTGAACGGTAACTATTCAAGAGGAAAAAATAATTATGTGGTTTAAAAAACAAAGGGTACACTTACAATTTATTGCCACAATTTTCCTGTTTAATTTCTGGGATAATGTTTCTCATCTGGTTTGAATGACGACATTGAAAGATTACTTCAGGTGCAATGAGAACGTTAGCATAATGATTTTGGAAATATAGCCAATTGTGACTCTTCCGGTAGCATCAAAGAAATGCAAGTGAACTAATGTTGGTTAAATCTTTTCAAAACACAAATGTGCAATAACTTGCTTTTCTTCCCTGTGTTTCAGGGTGCAAAGGAAGCCTTGGAACTGGGAATCACTGGACCTGAGGGAATAGACATCAGCAGCCCTGAAGAGGTTAGTCATGATAAAATGGGTCGACGGAATGTTGGAAAGCATATTTTATGAAACATTACTATTCACCATTATAAGTGAACCCTTTCCTCTACCATGTTGGACTGCTTAATTATCATGTAATCCCCATAGCAAAAGTGTTTTTTGGTCAGCCAGGTTATATGATAGACATAGACGCCTATCACTATGCTTAAGAATGTCCAAACAAACTTGAGTGTACCACATATGCATTATTTCTGTTTAACGAAAGGGAAAATTAGTTGCTATAAGATTCTGTTTTAATTCATGAAATAGAGTATGTAAATCAAATAACTTTATGGTTTCAATCAACTAATGGTATTCTGTTTGTGTTATGTGTCCTTTATAACTATGTGGTGTTCTTGTTGTAGAAAAATAAAGTGATGCCTTGTAGAAGGCTTCATTGCTCGCCATGTTGTCCATTCTGGCTTTGTATTTGCAGTGATGGCCTCGGGATGAACGATGCCTTTGCAGTGAAGATCATTAGTTTTACACATAGTTCAGCAAGTTTTTAAGTTGTTTTGCTTATTTACTGACCAAAGGGATTTCACCACTTATATTAGAATTGTATAAATTTACAGCACAGAAGGAGGTCATTTGGCCCATCAAGTCTGCACTGGCTCTCGGAGAAAGCTGTGTATTCAGTCCCAATATCCCTCCCTAATCCCATACCCCTTCAAGCCTATTTTTTCATGTACTTGGCAAGCTGTTCTATTTTATTTCTGGAAGCTTTACAAAATAATGCTGTCTTTTAATAAAATGTTATACATACTTACATAAAACAATATGAATGTGTTTATGCTTTCTCCAGCTCGAGTCAGAAGCTACACATCGTGCCATCACAATTGCTAACCGAGTGAGTTTTTTTAAACCAGTCTTGCTATTTTATTTTAAAATATCATAGTACACTGTTTTAGCTGTATTCAGTAGCTAATTATGCCCATTAATGTTTCCTTCAGACCCATTGTCCATTATATTTGGTTAATGTCTCAAGCAAGTCTGCAGGTGATGTCATTGCTTCTGCAAAGATGCAAGGTAAGAGTTATTTCCAAAGTTTAAAGAAAATAACTGGATGCACACCTTCGGAAGCAAAACAATTTTAAAAACAACAAGCAAGAATGAGAATTAGTTGTGTTGTGTAGAATATAAAATAAACGGGCATCCACAAAAGATACAATTTTATTTCTGGTAAGAGAAACTGATATTTAATGGTATTTAATTTAGCAATTTTAAAAATTGTTCTGTTGAACAATGTGTACCTTGATTAAGTTGTAAGGTTCTAAAATCAATAGGAATGTGAACATATTTTGATTAAAGTCTTTGTGTTTATCTAGTCAAACACATTCACCCTGTGTACCATTATGATTCTGCAAAATCCCCATTCTTCCGATCATAGGAACCAGAACTGTACAGAAGTATCTTCTGCAATGACTTATGGTCTAATGTCTTAGTTTTACAAGTATGCTCCAGGCTCAACCACTGATAATCATTAGATAACAGCATTGTCTGTCCCTCATCTGTGTTTGAAGGTAATCCTGGAAGCCTTTTAAATTAGTAGCCAGAAACACTTGCTGTTTTATATATTTTTTTCTCTCTCATCCCTGCCCTCTACTCCCCAAATTCAGACCAGACATGCTACTATTATGACATCTTTGTTGTACCTTGTTGTTTTTGAGGTTGAGGATTATATTATGCAAATGTTTGGTTACCATAATATTTCATTTAGTGATCTCCCAATTAAACTGCCCTTTATTATGAATTTGTGCCCTCTTGTCTATTGCCATGGCATCTCTGAAATTAATCTTTTGGGTTTCCTTTTTCAATCCCTAAATAAAATGTTATACACCTCTAAGATGTATTTATCTAATCTTAGCTCATAATTAATTCTGTTAACATTGGGGATCATCCTCATAGCTCTCCTCTGCACTGCCTCAACCTTATACTATGGTGACCAGAACTGTACGCAGTTCTCCAGGTTCAACCCGATTAGAAAGAGCATTGCACAACTTGAGCAGAACTTCTGAATGCAGCTAATTTGTCTTGTTTATTGCTGTCTCACAGTTTTCACATGGCAAACGATGAGTCAAATACAACCTCCAGATCTCCTTCAGTTTTCCCCATGGCAGCTTCCCTCTCCTCCATGGAGTGTGTGCCTCCTATTTTTGCTTCCTATATGCAGTACTTTGCATTTATCTGTATTAAACTTCATTTGCCTTTCATGAACATATGTGCATACCCCCTATCAAGCTCTCTTTGCTACCATATGTTGTGCATTTGCTGCTGTGTCCCTTTCTATTTCTCTCTTGGCTCCCATAATCTTTTTTTGTATCCTCTTTCTGTACAGTCTTGCATTAAACCCAATGGCCAGCCCTCATATCTCCTTACAAGCTATGTAAATCTTCCTTTTTTTTCTTGATCTCCCTTTTTGTTTTCCTGTTGATTCATTTTTGAACATTTTTCTTTGTCTTGTCCCTGCTGCATTTGGATACTTAAATTGACTTTCCAAAACCAAACAGGTGGCTTTGCTCTTGCTGAGTTAGAATGTTAAATAATAGACTTTCTATCTTTACCGGTGAAGATTGCGTTAGCACAGTCAAAGAGGAAGGCCTTCAGATCTGATCTGAAGACAGGCAAGCATAGGGCAAGGTGGAGGAATTGAGGTAGAGCAGTTCCAGAGGTTCGGGATGGAGCAGAGTGTACATGGGAGCACTGCAGGCAGCTGAGAGAAGAAGCAGTAGTGGAGTGTTAGCAGGTTGGAGAGGTAGGAAGGTGGTAGGACATGAATTTATGTGTGTGAATCTTAAAATAGATCCATTCTGTAATAGGGAGCCAGTGGAGCCTGGCAGGGACTGGGGTGATAGGATTGCAGACTGTGGAAGTGTCAGTAATTGTGCTCTGTTGTTAATTATTTAGGAAAGGGATCTGGAAGATGACACATTATGTTTTTTTCCCTCAAAAGCATTACAGTTATCTCATTCATAATAAATGTATGTGTGCTTTGAGCCTGCTATCCTGTGCCCTTCAATTCTCTACCTTTGGGACATCACGCACTTATTCTCTTTTGGCACTTCAAATCACTGAGCTTCAGGCTCGCATCATACCGAAGCTGAAGTTTTTTTAAAAATCCATTTCTTAAAAAAAAATATTTTTACCATAAAGGATCTATAAACCACCAATTGTAGAGACCACATACATCATTGAGCTAGCATTCCAACGAGTTCAGTCGTATAGATTCAAGTCCTTGCTTTGTGCAAAGAAAAATAATCAGAATTGCTGCAGTAGCCACAAAGGTAAACTTGGTTTACTAAGTTAAAACTGATGGAAATATACGCCGAGTTATGATATTCTTTAATAGGGTAAAGTAGCAAAGAGACCTAGGAGTATATATAATAGATCTTTAAAGTTGAAAGTAGAAGTAGACTATTTAGGAGATAAAAATCTATTTTAATGCTGAGTCAAGAGCAAGGAGGTTGTATCCAGCCTGGGGTTCGTTTTTTATATAAAGGACTTTAGAGCCTATATTGGAAATTCATGAAGATGATATCAGGAATGAGAGTTTATAGCATGCAGACAACAACAAAAAAAATCTCAATGTACTTTACGAAGTAAGATTAATATGAAATGAATGCTGTTATATAGCCGAATGCATATTAAATGTGCAGCAACGATGAGATGAATAGCCAATGATTTGAAATTATGGTGCATTTAGATAACTTACTTTGAAATAGTAGAACTCCCATAGCATCTATATGAATCATAAGGCAGACTGAACCAAAATTAATGACAAACCAAAAAAGCTGAAATAAAGAATAACATTTTATTTAATATGGAATGTTCTTATGTAGGCAAACACAGAGGTCACAAAGAGTCAAATTAAATTGAATATTTTCTAGGTGGATTTTCAATATTGGCCAGGATACTTTAGAAATTACTTTTGAATTTGCAGGAGAATTGAAAAATTGAAGAAAATGATGAGCAAAAGGAAGGGAGGAAAAATGGTGGAAAGTAGAATGGAAGACGGGTGGGGAGCTTGAAGGTCAAATGACAAATACGGGTCATTAAGCTCTTAGATTAGTTTAATTTTTAAGTAACATATGGACAGACAGTTCGATTTGCTGCCAGACAGCCCTTTAATATATTACTGTATTTAGCAGGTCTCAGCACAGCCTGAGGCACCTCCTGAAAGCAAGCATTTCTGAAATGCACTCTGCATTGTATTTGTCATTAATTCTTCAATGTGATCATTTGCTTCTCATAGAGTTCCCTCATGCTATTGTCTTAATCAGCAGACTGTAGTTTTCCATCATCTTACTTTTTCCAATTGATGTGTGTATGTGTTGTTTGTTTTAGTAAGTTATATTTATCAACCCTCTGTGCTACCATCCTCAGGGTTATTTGCCTCGCACTCTGAGATGCTGGTTATGATCAGATGTTATTGCTGTAAAAAGGATTTGCTCAAATAAAATGGTTAAATTATAATGTACATTGCAATATCAAATCAAAAATATTTCTTGTTGGGAAACTTGTCAGATTTGAAACTTGATCAACCAAACATTTAATTCAAAATATATTAACTCGGATCATTTTAATTGGTTGTTAATTCCATAATTAAAGCACCTATAATTCCCTCTGACCATATGTTTGCACAGAGTTAAGTACAGTCCACAAATTAGACTTCAGTGAAACAAATCTGTCTGATTCCCAGTACAAGTCTGAAACCACACAGTAGACGATATTTGTAATGGATTTAAGTATTTGCAGTCGGTGAACTGCCCCATGTGCCCTGGCATCCTGGTTTCCTCTGAAATTTGGAGCAGCATTATGCATGTGTATAGTTAGGTGTATATATTGACATACATAATTGCACTTCCACAATAATGCTGAGTCTCGAAGAAAACAGCAACACTGTTGTGGCAAGTGAAACCCTCCCAGTACAATTACGTTAGCATTCAATGTTCTTTTTTCATGCTGATGCCTTGAAGCAGCCTCACAGTGTATAATTACCTTTATTGCATTGGATTTAGTTATTAGCTCTCAGTGTATCATTTTGACCATAAAAACTGCAGACGTATTTTCTCTGCAGTTCTCTATATTAGGAGGTTGTTTGAATTTTGAAGCCTTATGTGCAAAGGAGCATTGATATTTGAAAACCTTTTGTTCCATCTTGACAGGAACGAATGGCCTTATCATCTCCTCCTGCTTGATAGATTCTAAGCATCTCCTGCTACTTCATCCAATATCTTTACAGACCAGCTGTTGTTAGCAAACATAAATTGGGTGCTCAGTGTCCAGACGATAGCAAAGCAAAACATTCTGCCTCCTTCAGACATACCTACCAGTGGGAAGGCCAGCACCACCTTGAAACAATTCTAAAAGATGCCATAGTTTGTTATTTAGGCACAGGCCTTTGCTCTTGGCCCCCTTTTTCACCATACATTCAGGTTCAAGTGCAGGAAATTGTATTAGGTGTCTGGATAGATGATTCAATGACTGTAGTACAGTATAGTTGTTTATATCTCACTGTAAACTTTGAATGAAGAAGTGTCCTGAATGTACACAGCAGACAATTTTAAAATCTAACACACTCTTTATTTTAAAAGGCAAGATTATATATGGAGAAACAACCCTGGCACACGCAACTCTGAATGGATCAAACTATTACCACCCAGATTGGTCTCATGCTGCTGCCCATATCACTGCCCCTCCGCTCCGATTGGATGCTGGCACTCCCAAGTACCTCATGAGCCTGCTAGCCAAGTGAGTTGTTGTAACAAATTGAATTTAATATTTTTTTAAAAACATGCCTGCCATAACCAAAACTTTTTTTGAAAGAAGCAATAAATTTGACTAACAATATTTATTTCACGTGCAGGACGCCATCCCTATACTTAAGTTTCCTGAACAGACAGAGTTCCTCATTTGCATGCCACCTACACATGAAAATTTCCCAATATTTGGAATGTGCACCTTCTCCCCAGAGGGATGCACGACTTAATTCCAAAAAGTATTAGGCTTGGAAACTCCAGTGTGTATGTTGGGTTATTGCTGGAGTCTAACCAGCTAAAAACACATAGTTTGCCATTGAGGACACTGTCTGACAAGCTTTCCCACTCCTTGTCCAGCTAGAAACACCTGTTAAGACTTTGCAGGGTTAATAGGAGCAGAGTAGCATGAATCCCTAGCCCCGGTGACCAGTCAATGAGCCAGGCTATCTAGTCTGTCATCAGCAGTGCCCTGAGTTACTACAGATCATCCTGGGCCAGGACACAAATTTTGTTCCAAATAGTGCCATGGGATCTTAAACATCTGCTTGATCAGGCAGATGGCACCTCGGGTTTAATGCCTCATCTGAAGGATGGCACATCTTACTATGAGCACTTAGTCTGCGGGGTTAACAGGAGTTGAGTAGTAAGAATCCCTGCCCCCAGTGACGGGTCTTACCCCTCCAGGCCACAGTACCGCATTGGAGTGTCAGGCTAGATTATGTTAGTTTAATATTCCAACATAGGACTTGAACCTATAACTTCTGACTTAGATTCAGGAGTGCCTCAAATGAGCCAAACTGACGCAGACATTTTATCTGAATAAATAATACAAAAATAGAACAAAAAAGGAACAAGAATCTAGTTCTACATTTAAAATGGAAATGGCTGCCTGTTTGAGAAAAATATTCCTATTGATGAAACGGTTAACAAACTCGGGATTGCTTTCAGCACAGCACTTAAAATTTGGTACAGAGGAAACATCCATTAATAAGCTTTTCTAAAACTGCATAGCAGTGCATTCTCCAGCTTATTTTCTGCATCTTCTCTTGAGTGTTTCCTTGCATAAGGTTCCAGTGCCAACTCTTTGAAAAAGCTATCCACTTAGTCATATTCCACCGCTCTTTCCCCATAGTCTTGCAAGTGTTTCCTTTTCAAGTATATATCCAATTCCCTTTGGAAAGTTATTATTGAATCTGCTTTTACCACCCTTTCAGACAGTGCATTCCAGATCACAATCAATTATGGGAATGCTTCATTTGGGGAATTTTGGACACAAATACATGTCCTGCGTATGGTGTTGCACTTTCTTTGTACAATGTACATTTTAAGGTGGGCAGGGCACAATATTGGGCAAGTTTCCTCACTCCATACCCCTCTTGTTTACCTAGCCGTAAATAGGAACCCAGTTGTCAGTCGATTGGCAGATCACTTTTTCGGGGGTAATAATCCATTTTTTTTAAAAAAAAGAAAATCGCCCCCCCCCAAAAAAATAATCAATCCACGTTTGTTTGTGGGACACTGCTGTGCGCAATTGGCTTTCACTTTTCGCCCACAAAATATATAGTCAATTCACTTTACAGTATATTCTGTGAAGTGCTTTGAGGTGTCTAGAAGATGTAATAAGGCATTAAATCAAATGCAAGGATTATTATTATTTATTTTTAATTTAACATAATTAGCTAATTTTTAAAAAATATCAAATTCTTCATAGAAAGATATTGAAACACTGAGTTAACACTTTTTAAATTTTTTCCTAGTGATACTATTAATGTTGTTGCTTCGGATCACCGTGCACTGACTATCAAGCAAAAGGCTATCGGCAAAGAAGATTTCACTAAAATTCCTCATGGCGTTGCTGGAGTGCAAGACCGAATGGCTGTGATTTGGGAGAGAGGAGTGGTATGTTTGACATTATTAGAACCTCTTTGGATGCTGTTTGCAGAACTCTCTACATTAGGAAAGTCAGATTCTCAATCTTGACAGTGAATTGCTACTTTTAATTAATGATGAAGCTAAAAGGTTTGAAATTGTGAAATAAGAACATTTTTTTCTGGTGCTCCTCAAGATAGAGATTGACAGTCGTTTGTTTTTCCTATACTTCATGGGAGTGAAACTGCTTTTATAAATACTGGATTCAGAGTCTTTGTTAGTATTACATTAAAAAGAAACTAAATATGTTCTTTCTGGATGCTTGGGTATTTTCTTCTTTATAACTCAAATGGAATCATATTGCAAGTTGTATAGTTTTCATTAAATCAGCATATTATAAAATGTGTAGGATTTACAACACACCATCCACAACTGGACTAAAACATGTATTTTAGTTTTTTAAATAAAATCTTTGCCACTATTAAGTTACATTTATTAAACATGATCCCAAGAAGACTCGTAAAATCAATGAGGAAATTGTAAATTGTGAATAAGGATTTGCCTCGATTAATAAGAGATGAGACCTAGTTTTCAGTGATGATTAGTTATTCTTATTTAGCAGCTGTGATGATCAAGTTCCCCAGGGATTGGGCTTCAGATCTCTTCTACTTTTTAATATTAATGACCTTGAAACCGGTATTGTTAGTAGAATGTGGGATAGTAGGATGTTGCAGGGAAAGCAATGCTGCACAGAGACAGAATGAGACCTGACAGTTGTGCATGTGGTTGACCAATGGCTTTGAGAAATATTTTAAAAAATCAAGCAAAATGGGGCTAAAATCAACAAACATAATCACACTATTATTAAAGGGGATGAATATAAAATGGTTTAATAATAGTTGATTCAATCTTGAAAGCGTTTTCTTTATTGTGGATCTGCAATTTTGGAAGCAAATGGGTAATATTGGGCGATGAGGTCGTATACAGATTCATGAAATGCAAATTCGAAGAGGTGATTGATGCTGGTGTTCAAAATACATTAGTGGGCCCTCTTGTGGAGTGCTGTGGTCACTGCACTTCCAAACAAGAATGGAAGCATTGAAATTTAATTGGATCTGTGTTTTATGTCAGTCAACTTTGACTGGGTTCCTTAATGAGGACTGAACCAAAATCTTTTGTAAGTTTTACTTGAGGTAAGTAAGCCTTGTTATCTTTGTTTTTGATACATGTCTTAACATTGAGTATGCATCAAAGCATTCTACAGAACTGTCAAGTGCAATGATTGAATTTGTCGGCAAACATAGCAGCTAATTTGTACATAGTAATGTCCCACATACAGCCATGGAGAGAATAACCAGTTTATCTGGAGGATAAAAGAACTGAGATTGGAGGAACTGGGACTTTTCCACTAGAAAGAAGATTTGATAGAGCCAGCACCGTGATGGGCCGCATGGCTTTTTTGTCTGTGCTGTAAACCTGTATGGTTCTACGATTAAACTTGGTCTATACAATATTTGAGCACCTTGTTTCTTTACCCTAAACTTGCACACTTTGACACACAATTCAGTCCAGTGATATTTCTTGCAATACATTTTGGATACATTCACCTACAAAATGCACATCACTACACTTTACAGTATACTCTGTGACAAGAGTATGCTCGACTCGCCCCTTCCCTGTTCAAAGGCCACCTCAAGACCTTGCTTTTTGACCCAGATCACCACCAGAAAGATAGTTCATATAAGAAGACTGCAAATAGTGTAATTTTATCTGCTATTTTGCTAGAGATAGATTGAAGGTGTTGGGAGATCCAAAAGGGGAAATTATTTTAATTGGATATGAACACCATCTGTTTCATATTGAATATGTTCAATCTGCAAACAACTCTCATTACGATTTGATATTTTCAGCTTGGTGGCAAAATGGATGAAAACAATTTTGTTGCTGTGACGAGCTCAAATGCTGCAAAAATTTTCAATCTATATCCCAAGAAAGGGCGAATTGTTCCAGGTGCAGATGCTGATATTGTTGTGTGGGATCCAGAAGCTACAAGGTATGTATCCAATAAAACATAGTGAACTTCAAAGTATTTCATGTAAGGCTTCCTGTTTTCACGAAGTCCACATTTTAATGCATATGAGGATTAAAAATGCTAACTTTGGGTTTAAAAGAAGTGTTCAGAAATGATACTCTGCTCTGAATGATTTGCTTCTTCCAGAATGATCTCTGTGAGCACACAGCTACAGGGTGGTGATGTGAACATTCATGAGAATATGCGCTGCCACGGTATTCCTCTGGTCACCATCAGCCGTGGGCGAGTGGTCTATGAAAATGGCATCTTCACTTGTGCGGAAGGGACAGGAAAGTTCTGTCCTGTCCGACCTTTCCCAGAGTTTGTGTACAAGAAACTGATACAGAGAGAAAAGGTACAGTTCATTATATAGTTTTTCCACAAATTATGTTTGTTGGTTCGAGGTTGGCCTTTTTTTTTCAAACAAGTTATGAGGGAGGGAAAAGGCAATCTTTTCACCTAATATGATTATAGCAGCCCCATTAATAACTTGCTTTATTACAGCGCTGCCTCACTGTAACATGGGTGCCCTGTGAACCCATGGCTTGCTTCCTGCACTGCACTAGTAGGTTTGGTTGCACCTTGCAAAAAATCACAACAACAACTTGTATTTATATAGCACCTTTCACACGGGGTAACATCCTGGAGTGAACCTAACCTAATAGCATGAGCAGGTTTAATTGTGAACTGCAAGGCCAGCGACTTCCTGCACTCGCGTGCAGTGTGCAGTCAGTGACGTTGGCAGTGACCTAATGACCCTGAAGTCTGCCTTTTGTAGCATTGAAGCCAGAGTATGTTTGAGGGTATGTTTGACTGCTGTTTATCTGCACGCCAACTATCTAAATATCTATATATACGTTTATCTATATTGGGCTCTGATACAGAGATGCAAAATACCAGCAAAAATCCAGTTGTGTGCATTGTCTATAATGTTGCTAGGATTGCAATTTACTCCAGCCGTGCAGTTATGATTGGCATTGTGGCTCATTCGTAGACCTAGTAACGCTTTGCTCATATTATAATTCAATATAATATCTTGAGGCACCCACCAACGCATCTGTTGAGGCTAAGGCCATAAATTACTTTAAAAGGAAATTAGATATATGCTTGAAGAGGAAGAATATTGAAGGATATGTGGAGCAAACAAAAAAAGTGCAGTTAGATTGGCTCATGATGATAAATGCCGGGTTAAACTTGATGGGTGGAAAGGGCTGTTTCTGTTCAGCAACATTCTGATTCTACTACAGTGAATTCCTAATAATAAGACCCTGGCTTATATCATCACATGGTTTACATCATCACATGGTTTACATCATCACATGGTTTACATCATCATGCTGTCAATATCCTGACCGCTTCCCATGCAAAATGTGAATAAGGGACCCCAGCTTTATTTTATGACTCGCTTATCTCATATAAAGTTGCATTCCAATAATTAAAATATTGGATACATCATTGGAATGAACTTACCTGCCATCTACTGCCCGATACCACGGGAAAAGGTCGCCCTCAGCCAGACGGGTGGTGACTGTTTTGACTATTATGGCAAGATCTGTGAGAGTAGAAGTTTTAGATCTTGCCTTCTGTGAGATTCTGCCTGATTGTTAAAGTCTGAGTGATTTATAGACACGTACCTATCCATAAACTTGTGCTCTACTTAAATGAGTGTTAACAAATAAGTTGACAGTTATGAGGTGGGGCTGTCGGTCACACTGGCAGCTGCTCACTCTGTGCAGGCACTTGGTGTGTTGGTGTAGGTCTTCCTGGCCACCTGGCCCCTAGTGGCCCTCGAGGACTTATGCCTATATAGTCATTGGGGAGGGGCAAAAGGTTAGAAGGGCAAACAAAGGCCACACACTTTTGCACAGGAAGCATAAGAAATATTGGAGGTTGATCATGCTGCATTGTTCTCTCACATTTACACACATCAAGAATGATGTTGGTAGAGATTTTGCCCTTTGAAATTATGTGGGTTTGAAGGAAGACGAGGGCATTGCCTAAAATTTCTCAGCCTCATCTCTATAGATGTTTCTAATGCAAACAGCCCATCCCAGTCAAGTTCTAACCCTTGATTTTATATTGACACCTTTTATTTGCTTTCTATAGTCCACTATTTTTGTAATCATTTGAGTCTTACAATAGCTCAATACATTTATTGTAAATTCATAACAGATTAAATGTGGGCTTTCATATCATTGATGTCACTGACCCAGATATAACTGCAGCTGTTGCATATATTTACATTACTATGTGTTGAGATGTTTTGAATTTATAAGACACTTCATTGAATGCAATTTATATTACAAATAATACCAGAGTGATTCCACTAAAGTCTTTTTTTCTCTCTTGCTGTGATTTAATGTCACCATTTGCTTAAAAATACAATGTTTGTATAAATTTTCAATCAATCAAACCCACTATAAACCTTAAAGCCTAGCTTTACTGTTCTGCTTTAGTTGCCTTTTAAAGGTCACAATGTGCTCCTGTTGGCAAAAATCAGCACTGCAAAATTCTCAGCTGAGCTATCTTTATAAATATTTATAATTTTTCCATGGAATTTATACAATATTTAGTTCCACTTTATTCCAGATGTCTCCTGCATTTCATGAATTAAAATAAGAACTATTCATTTGAGGTTCATAGGATGATTCATTGAAATGTGTTTTATTCTGACTGTTTATTCATTCTTGCGATATTGGCATTCACTTCTAAATGAAGCAATTGTTGCTTTCTTAACATTTATTTAACCTTAGTCTTGGTTGAAGGTCAAGTTTAAATAAAGGGAAATATTGCAGAAAAAGACAAGCATTCTACATATCTGCAAGCAGTAAACTAAGATTATTTTAAAAAATACTTCACATATAGGGTGGGCATTACAGCATCATTGTCTGTTGGAGCTGGAGAATGCTGTCATAGGAAGCTGAAACAGGCTTTGTTCCCTGCGAAATATGCAAGAAAGAAAACTTGTAGTGCCTTATCATGTCAAAATGTCTAAGAGCACTTTTCAAGCAATAGCTGTCGAGATCATTTGTGGGCAAAGTTATAAATATTCTTACTGAACGCCCAGGGGAAAGTGGGTGGCCTGTATTCGTGGCATAGGGGATTCTCCCTCTCAATAACCTACATGGTGAGTTTTTAATCTAAGATGTACAATATTGAATAGACACTGCATAAAAGTAAGATCACAGGTATTTGTTTGGATGAGAAGGCACTGCAGTCCATCCATTCTCATTCTTCTACAAAATCCACTCGTACCGGAAATACTGTGCCCCTCTCTCCGATCCCCCCACCCCGACCCAATCACAGCATCAAGCTGCTTTTTAAATGTTATCCTACCTGAAGAGAGGGAGGAAAGGAATATCAATGGATGAATCAATGCAGCTGTAAATAGGTTATTTAAGTGGAGGCCTGAAACTAGGTTTTCTGACATTTCTTTCCTTAGTAAGGTGCTGTTCTTGGTAAGGGAGGGAAAGAGGAGAAAATTACATCCAAATAACTAGTTGAAGTGTTGCTGGCAGTCGTTCTCAATTCTATTCCATGGCAGAAAAGCTATGCAAACTTTTGGTGGAAGGAAATGTAAAACAACAGCCAAATTTTGCATGATTTTATTGAAGTGTTGTTGGCTGGCATTGAAAACAGTTTGTTTGTGTGCTTCTGCTCAAGCAGCTAAGTGGACACCATCATCTAGGATTCTTTTCCTTTCCTGTACACCCCCATGCCTCTTCCTTCCAGTTCTTTTGTTTTCTCCTTCCTCCAGTTGGCTTGAATTTTGAGTTTCTTTCTCTCACTCTCACAAGAGGTCTATCAAGTCCTGTTGAGAGGCTGGAATAAATCCAATTGTCAGGTGCCTCATTCAGTTTCTGTAGCCCTAGGGGACCATATTACATGATGACATTAGAGAATAAGCTAAAGCCCATCAAATTTTGAGAGAGAGGGGAAATATATGCTAGTTAGATTCTTTGAATACTACAGAGCACCACCTTGTATTTCCAGAGAATCAGTTTTGTCAAGATTATGTATTAGAGTTCCATTTTAATTCCATTTTGTTTGGAATTGATGGAGTTCAATGCTGCTGCTTATTTAGCATTATGGAGACACAATAAAAATGGGAGGCACATGTTCTCCCTAGATGGGATAGAACTTACCAAAGGGAAAGTGGAAGAAATCTCGGAGTGTTTAATGCAGTGGTGGCCAACATTTTTGATTGGCCAACAAAATAAATGTTCTTGTTTAATTAATGTCATTAGTCAAGAAATATTCAATCAAGAAAACTGTAAATAAAACATTGATTTAAAACAGACTCACCTAGACTAGTGCTTGACAGCCCCCTGGGGGAACACCGGAAAGGCTACAGGAGCTCACCACCTCCTGCCTCTCAGGCCTATCACCGCACAGAGACCCAGAGAGAGAGACGCACACACTAATAGACACAGATATATATATATACACAGAAAGACAGGAGAGATTCACATGGAGACACTCAGAAACACATATAGAAGAGACACACGCAGACACACTCACAAACATACATACAGGGGAGAAATATACATACATGCATGCATGCATATATACATACAGGGACACTCACAAAGACAGAGAGAGACACACTCACACACACAAACATTCACAGTCACATAAATACACAGACAAACACAACAGCGGAGACTCCGAGTGAAGCCCATTTGCCGCTTATACCGCACAGCGCGTGCGCATCCGAAGCAGCTCCACCCACAGTGACGTCAGGTAAACAGCGAGAGGCCCGCGGGCCAGAAACTTTATTTATAGCAGATTTGTAGGAGGAGGATGTTTATAGCGGATTCCGCGGGAAAAAGTGCGACTGCACTTTTCAATTGGCCCAGGCCATCAAACTGTACAGTGGTTGGGCCATACCTGTCCGTACCGTGAACAATTCTGGTTGTCACAGTTTGTCACTATCTAGTTTAGTTTCTAGCTGTCTAGTTTCATGACCGCCCTACCTGAAAGGTGCTATATAAAAGCAATGTGTTTGTAGTTGGTGTCTTCTATAGAAGCAGTATAGAGGAATGACTAGATAATCTTCATCCTTGAAAATATGCTTCTCGAAAGAAACCTAATAAAGTTGTTTACAAAGCTAAATTGCAAACTGAATGCAGTCCAATAATTTCAAATGCACAAAGGAAAGAGGACACAGGTTCAGGTTTTGGAAGGACAGTGTTTGGATAGACACCAGGACATATTTCCTTATCCACAGAAACAAATTACCAAGAGTGACAGGGAAAAGCAACTTGTTTTTAAAAAAAGACTGGTAACTCGAATATCTACAATTGAGTTACTTTTTAATTCCAGCAAAACACTTTTTTTTAGAGTATGTGTACCAGAATTCACTTGTAGTGGAAAAATAATAACACTGGAAAGTTTCAAAATATTATAAGAGCTTTTGGAAATAAAATATTTCAGCATGGAATGTACGCTAATACTGCTGATAATTATCTTATAGAGACTAACTGCAAAGCCCGTGGAACGTGCCCCATATGTAGGTGAGGTGGCTCTGGTCCTTAATGTTGGAAAGGAGGTGGCAGCTAATCCAGACACCCTAGGTCGACATGCAACACGGCATGGAGGTGTAAGGGACTTGCATGAATCTGGCTTTAGTTTGTCAGGTAAGACTTGAAACTTTCACAGATTAACATTTATAAATAAAGTCATATTTATGAGTCTTCCTTTCAGCTGAAGTGTTTTATATGTCTCCGTTTCTCATTCATTCTCACTTTTTTTTCTTTCTCTCTCTCTCTCCCTCTTGCACACAAATTAATGTCTAATCATTGGGTTAGGCCTGTTGGTATTTCTGAAAACTTTCCTAAAATATACCAATTGAAGGCAGACTGAACTTTCCTATTGGTTGGCAGTTAGTGACAATAGGCTGGGCTTGGTTGGCAGGAAGCCATTGACCGGAGGCTAAGATCTACTCTTATTTGGAATCAATAATCTCGGCCCTCAAGTTTCCCCAATTTGCTAAATATCTGGAGACCTTAAAATCTTCCCATTTCCATTATGTTGAAAGAGGTTTCTCGCCCAGTGCTGTTCATTTTCTTCTTATGTGTTCTTTGCAGGATCCCAAGTTGACGATCACCTGCCAAAGCGACCTGTATCTAGGGTTCTGGCTCCACCTGGTGGCCATTCTAATGGTATCTGGTAAAAGGGAAGTCGGATATCCAGGCACTGCCAACTTTACCACCGAATGAATACTGAGTATGAATGGATTAGACCCAACATGCAATGGAGCTAACTACATGAAATGCAGCAACACTGTACCCAAGTTCTAGGAATGAACGTACAAGCAACTTCTTGGTTAATTGACTTTTTTTGCTCAGTCAAGCAAGAAAATTTTATTTCAATGCTTTCGGAATTCTTCTTGATGGTTGACTAATAATAGAAAGTGCAGATAGTGTATCAATATATTACACCCTCCTACTATAGCCTTGATTCTCTAGTACTACTACACTGGTGAATCTCTGCATGAATCTAACCAATACAAACAAATGTGTTTTGGACTATTCACCTCAAAATGTATAAACACCGAATTAAAAACTAATTTTCACAAATAAAACAACTTGCAGACACATGCACACAACATAAAGACTGGATTAAGATTGTATACCGCATGTGATCTTTGTATACCAATGGTTTATCCATTTTGGGATCAGAATTATGCTTTTTATAAACCACGACTGGCTGTGTTGTGAACACGGATGGTAGATGACCTTTTGTCAGTTCTGACAAAAGGTCATTGACCTGAAATGTTAACTCACTTTCCTCTCTCCATAGATGCTGCCTGACCTGCTGAGTATTTCCAGCGATTTCTGTTTTGATATTAAATGGCTGTATATCCTGTTTATGATTAGAAAATTGAAGACTTGAATATGTTAATGTCTTGTGCTAATTTAGGATAGTTTCAAGTGATCCCATAAATATCTCTAATGTACACTTGAGAGTGCACCAAAAATCAGTGTAAAACAAGTCAAATTAATTGAAGCTCTTCATTTTGTAGTTTCTCCCCCAACTCCCCTCTTTCCCCCCCCCCCCCACCAATGTGTACTGTTGATTCACCTTTTGGTTCATTTTTCATAAACTATTAATGTCCAGCACGGTTCCTTAGCCAAAATATTTGCCCGAAATATATTCTCACCTAAATTAGAGCTTCAGAATTTTGCTTGCACTTTCACTGGAAAAAATTTAGGTGGCAATCAACAGCCAGTCCTCCTGAAAGTCATTGGTTCAGAAGTGTTTTTGTCAATTTTTCTGTCTGTCTGATGAGTTTTTTTTTGATATTTTAAAGTGTATAAGTCAGTGTGAGAAGTCATTGCAGTGAGTGCTGATCTCCTGGGCCTCCCTCTGGAGTTGTTAATGTGGTGCTTTGGAGAAAGTATTTAGACATTGTGCTAATACTATGTGCTGCTCTATCAACTTAAAACCTCCTGTGACTTGTAAGATCACTTAATTCTATTTTACTTTTTCTGATTTTTGGAAGAGATATCATGTCATTTGAAGATCTAAAAATGTTTAAAAGAAGATTGTAGCTTTTCTTTCAGAAGATGATTTTGGTAAGATCTTTTCACCTGGACAGGTGAAGGTAAAATTCCAGGGAAAATGCCAAGGCTAGGAGTATTCCATTTTATGATTACAGATATCCCAAAGATCAATTTTTAAACCTGACCACAGTGTGACTTCTGTATCTTGTGTTTCTCCTTAGGCCTATTCTGTCAAAGGTGCTATATGTCGAGTCCTGTAGTTTAGGGGTTAAAGCACTAGCCTCGCCAGTGAGAGGACCTGGGTTCAATTCCCAGGCAGGTGAAACATTGGGCAAGTTTCCTTACTCTACATGCCTCTATTTACCTTGCAATAAATAAGAACCCGATTGTTAGTGGATTGGCAGATCGCTTTTCTGGGGGTGATAATCCATTTAAAAAATAATAATAATTTGGTCAATAATTTGGTCACTCAATCTACAACTGTTTGTGGGACACTGCTGTGCACAATTGACTGCTGCGTTTCACCCAAAAATATAGTCAATTCATGTTATAGTATATTCTGTGAAGTGCTTTGAAACGTTTTGAAGACACTATAAGACGCTATATAAAATGCAAGGATTATTATTATTATCTTGTTGCACAACACAATTGAACTCTGCGATTAGACTAGTTTAAGTGTTACCAAAATGTGTTTAAAATGCCTTTCAGGTTAACTAGCAGGAAGTAACTGTGGAATGCTTTTGGGTATATCAGTAACCACATAGATAGAAAATGTGAAGCTACAGTTACAAAATATCTAAGGCATAAGAAAATATGCTTTTTAAATTTGTTTGCCGCTTTATTTTCCTTTCAGGTCCCAGCTGAGATTAAAAAATAACTGCACTCATTGAGTATTTTGCCATTTCTCGATTGTGTCACACAGTGGTGTGAAGTTACTCATTTGTATTCTAACTCTTAAGGGTGGATGATGTAACTTGTCTATGTTGTATGAATTATTGACATTTATGAGGGGCGTGGGTAATCTACAGTTGTCGGTAGATTTACTGACCGAAGCTATGAGAATGGGAATGTCCAAGCTGGGCATGCAATCACTTTTCAGAATCTAAAACAAGGAGCTTTATCTTAACATTATGTATGCTTAGATTAGGTTCCCTTACATACAATACAGTATGCAAGAAGATCAGAAAACATATTTGTTCTTGTAAAAGGGTGATGAAAATAGGGAAGCATTGCTACAAAATTGATTAGGATGTTCAAAGGCAGATATGTAGATACATTGAAAGTAAAGGTATTAAAAGATATTGAGAAAAAAATGAGATTAAAAAAACAACCACTGATAACATGGTAGAACAAGCTTGATGGGCCAAATGACCTACTCGGATTCCTATCTTCCTAAGGTCAGTAAAGCTACTCACAAGTGAAGATAAAAGATTTGTTAACTAAAAGACTTGTTGAAAGCAGATTAGATTTAGTGTTACTAATTTACCCCATAATTTTTAAAGCGGCAACCAAATTTTACCAGATTATGCTTCTCTTCACATCTGAGTATTGCAACTAAACTATTACAATAGAAAATCAAGCAATAATATGAAAAAAAACTTGCTCACTATTTGTACAAAAAAGCTCACATTTTCAAAAGATTTTTAATTGTCAATACAATCCTAGAAATAACTGCAAAGAGTTCAACAGTGAGATTGGGAAGTATTCATTAATATTCTCAAATTATGTTTATATTCAAGGTGTCAAAACATAATTTAAGTCAACTGCATTACTGCAGTTTACTCTTTTTTGAAAAAAAATTCACAAAGTGTTGAATCATTCATTCAAATGCTTCCCAATACTGTGTGCTGCCAAGTTTTCATTTGGAAGGTTTTTTATTATAAATTTCTTATAAAATTTTGTGTGCATATTTGGAAAGAAGAATCGCTGCGTTCTTGAATATATGTTTAGTGATTTATCAAAATATCACGTGCTTTGATTCTAAACAGTAAGTATGTCTTGAGGATTGTGACTCCTTATTAAAACCTTATTATTTATTTTCAGCTATAGCAACACACAATATTTGTTCCAAAACCTAGAATGATTCTATAAAATGTTTGACCTCTTATACTTTAGTCAGAAATGAAATTGTTGTGGATTGTGTATCTAATGAAACCCTTAGGCTTCAATGTTTAGAATCAAACTTATTGGTGGTTATTTTCTTACTATATTGTGACACCCCTGTTGTGGAACACTTGTTCTTTATAGTGAGGCCTGTGTGTGTGTGTATGTTTGGCCTATAATGGTGAGAAGTAATAACCATACTATCTCACCAGCATAGAGGAAGTTGTTATACTTTTGCAATGAATAATCTGGTCTTAAAGTTGAGGCTTCTTGGATATTTACCACATTTAATTGTTGTGTTGAAATGCATTAGTCAGTGTTTTATGGTCAGAGCATACCATTTTATGTCGGTTGTAAGAAAGAGCAAAACACTTGCATTCAGGCCTCACTATTAGCCAACCGCTGACTAGCATTTGAAGTATATAATGGGAGCAGGAGAAGTGAGTTGTGTTGCTTTAGTTAAAATCCAAACTATGATATACAAGTACATTTTTATACCAACAAAATACCAGATAAAATCATAATTTTATTCCCATGAGAATACTGTCAATATTGTACATTTTGATGCTTTGAGAAAATACTCAAAGTTAGCACCAAAATACCAGCTTAAATCATTTTTTTCCCCCAGAATACTGTAAATTTTGTTTTTCTTTTTATTTCTCTAATTATCTCCTTCAGTGTTCAATATTAGAAATTGAAACACTTCTGTGAACTCAAGCTAGAAAAGTCAGCATTCAAAACTTTCCAAAAATGGATTAAAAGATTGGTTTATAATTGACAAAATATTTAATTGATGACATGTTTTAAATAACCTCTGCCATACATTTAGTTGACCATAAAAGCACCATCATGTTCCTCCATTGATCTAATCTTGCTTAACAAATCTAAAGTGTGTTGGACAATGTGTTGAATGATCATTGTCTGTGCAAAAAATAAGATGACTGTAAACTGAGCAAAAATGGCTGTAGATTTGTGTTGCTTACCCCCAACGTTAGCCAACTGTTTAAAATGTTCAGCATTGATTATGTATGTGTTATTTTTCCCCTTGATCCAGTTCAATGGATATGCCATGCAGGTTAATAAAATGGCACAGTGTCATCCTTAAAATGACAGATAAGGAATAGAATAAAATATGGAACCTATTCTTTGTTTTATTGAGCCTTAAAACTGGCACAATCGCGGTTTTGATTTGTAATTTGGATCTGGAGTATCAGGTTTCAGTACTTATCATTCAGATTATACATCTGCCTAGCTTAAACATTTGATTCAGATGTGCTATCAATTTGATACATTGGACTGAAGACCTTACAACTTAGCTAAATATAATTGAATGCTTAACAAAATACTTCTAAATGAGCTTTACCGAAAGGTGGTTCAATCCCCTGTCTCTAGGTAGCGTTAACTGCTTACTGCATCCAGATTGCATTAAGACAGTATAGAAAAGGCTGTAAAATGTACTGGCGGGGAAAAAACCTCACCCACCTACTTCATTGTGCACAATTAACATTTTAATCTTTGCCCTTGTAGATTTTTCAGGTTTCATTCTCCACAAAACCACAAGGGCTTATTGCAAGGCATTGGTGATTGATTCAATTCAGAATTGAAACTTTTTCACTTCCATTTGTTTCAGATGTTTTGTTGCCAGCAATGTTGAATTCTCTGATTTTTTTTCTACCAAAATATGTGATGTGTTTTAGAATTTTATTTTTTTAAAAAAACTTCCAGACCCCTTTCACAGCTGGTCTGAAAACCTGTTTACAATGATTTTATGGTGCTGTGTTCAATCACCTCCAAATAGCCAGGTAATATTGCTCCTGTGCCTTGACACTTCCCTCACTTATCAGTATTTATTCCACTTCTAGATACTGGATGCAAGAGAATATTGTCCATAAAGGACTTTAACAAAATTATCATTTAATATTAAACTTGTGATTTTGTCTGATTATTGTCCTGTTATTCAAAATTAGAAACTCTTCTATTCTGCGGTCCATTTGCTCTTAGTTGAATCAGACAGCAAGATTGAATCGGGGAATAAGAAAGATGAATGGCATTTTACTTTAATGTTTTCCCTAGATAATATTGGATTTTCAATATTATGTCATTTGTTAA